AAAGTAAGCTGCAAATTCTATTTTTCATTTTCTATCATCCATTGTATCAGTCAGGATAGGCTATGTTATATTGTGTAACAAAAATAATCCCCAAATCCTAGTGGTTTAAAAACAACAAAGGTCAGTTTTGCAGACATGTCACATGCCATTTGCAGGATGGCAGTGGGGTGGGGGTGGGGGGACGTGCTTTGCTCATTGAGGTCATTCAGGGAGTAAACTGATGAACCAGCCATCACCTTGAACCTTTGTGGTTATTGTGTCAGAGAGAAAGAAAATGAACACTGGAGGCTCTTTCTTTTTTTAGAGTATATTATTAACTATAATCACCATGCTGTACATTAGATCCCCAGAACTTATTTATTGTATAACTGAAAGTTTGTACCCTTTCATCAACATCAAAGATGTTAGGAGACAAGAGATTGAGACCAGAGAATGTAACCCAAGCTTGTGTCCTAGCAGAACGGGAGAGAATGGAAAAATATTTGATGAACAGCACTAATGACCACCACCTCTATCGTGTTTGGGGGTACATTCCTTTACCCAGTAATTGAAACCTGAATCCTCTGATTCGTCCCCTTATGTTCTCACAGTTTTGCCTTGGAAAGCTTTCTCCCAACTGTGCCCTTTTATTCTCACTGCTTTTGCCTTGGCTCAGGCCTTGCTCTTCTCTCACTTGGACTATTGCAGTAGCCTTCTAACTATCCTCTAGACTTGACCCCTTTCAGGCATCATCCTGCTGCCAGAGTGATCATTCTAACGTCCCATCCTATTTAAGATCCTTCAAAAGTTCTCCATCACTACAAGATCTATTCCAAACCTTTAACGGGAACTGTCCTTTGCACTCTGGCGCCCAGTCCCTCTCCCTCTTCTCTTGCCAGTCCCCCGTGTGCTAGCCATGCTTAATTACTTGCTGCTAGGCTTCTGCATATCTTTTCCACTTTGCTCTGTCTAGAAAGTTCTCCATTCCCTATCACCATGCCTCACCTCTCTCCTCCCAACACATGCTTTGCTCAAACTTAGAAAATCTCTTTTAAGATTTATATCGAGGATTATTTTCCTCTAAGAAACCTTTCCTGACTTTCCCAACTGGAATGACAGCTACTTCTCTATTTTTTGTCACCCGATTGTCCTATGCATATCATTCTCACAGCACTTGTAGCATGGTTTGTATTTTTAGACTACATGGCTGTCTCCCTCAACTAATCTATAAACATCTTGATGATAAGTGCCTCTCACTAGATTTTGTGTTCTCAGCAGAGAGTAAATACAACGTTTCGGGCACATAGAAAATGCAGACTAAATGTGTTACCACATGGCTAGAGAAACAAAGATAGGAATTAATTTCAAACTCACATAATAGGAAGATAAATTTGTTTACAGGCATATGGTGGTTGATTTTTTTAAGGTGTGTACCTTGTCCAAAGTGAGAAGTGTTTGTGAGTGTATGTGCATGTGTATGTGTCAGGTCCCAACTCAATTCTGGGTAAGTTAAATAACTCTAAGCTTCAGTTTTCTTCTCTTTAGAACTCTATGAAGAAGAGTTAATTATAGCATCCGTTTCACAGGATTCTTGGGAGGCTAACTCAGCAGATGCTTACAGTGGGAATACGTAGCAAGGTGCTTGTATTTGTTCCCTATTGCTGCTGTAACAAATTATTGCCAACTTGGTAGCTTAAAACAACACAAGTATATTACATTATAATTATGGAGGTGAGAAGTCCAAAATAGGCCTCTCTGGGTTAAAATGAACATGTTGGTTGTACTGTATTTCCTTTGGGGGCTCTAGGAGACGCTGTTGCCTGTTTTTTTCCAGCTTCTAGAGGCTTTCTGCATGCCTTGGCTTGTGGCTCCTTTCTGTTTTCAAAACGAGCAACGGCCCATTGAGTCTTTCTCACACTGCATGGCTCTGGCACGCACTCTCTCACCTCCTTTTACTGATTATAAGGACCTTGGGCTCCCCTGAATAATCCAGGAGAAGTTTTCCATCTCAGATTCCTTAATTGACATCTGCAGCATCCCTTTTGCCATGTAAGTTATGTAAGGTACCATATTCATAGGTCCTGGGGCTTAGGATGTGGACAACCCACTCATGGTAGGTGATCAGTAAAGCTTGGCTATTATTCCTGGAATTATAGACAGTTTCTTAAACAGTGTTAAATAGAACTGAAACGCTTTTAAGCCATACAACCTTGATACAATATAGTCTTCTATTAATACTTTAGCACGAAAGAGCCACCATTATCTCACTGCCAAAGTGGGTAAAGTGATTCGCTTTTGAAAATTTCCTTAGCCATTTTTGCTTTGCTGGTAAAAGGAAATTGGTATTTATTTAAAAGTACTTTAGTAGCCCTAAGGAAGACTATTTTACTTTCATTACTGTCATTGTGTAGTAATGACTAGCAGTTATTGAGAACTTACTGTGTGCCAGGAATTATTTCAAGTGTTTATATGTGTATTGAGCAATTTGACTCCAATGACCAGCCCCATGAAGGGAGGTACTTTTATTTTCCATATTTTATGGCAGTTGAGAGTTTGTGCCAAGTTTCAGCGTAGTAAGTGCTAGAGCTGGGATTTAACCCCAGGTGGTCAGGCTGTGGAACCTGTCCTTTTAACCACAGCACTATAAAAGAAGAAATGTGGAAGAATGAACACTCTACTTCGAACTAATAACTTAGCTTTTTTACAGCCCATCATGGTATAGCTTGAGAGTATTTAGTCTTATTGAGTTCTAATTTTTGTGCTTTTGAAAAAATGCATAACACACAGCCAACTGTGACTTGAGAGTTGGTCAGTTTCTAGGGATGCTTGAAAACAAATTGTCCTGTGAGTTCAGGCTTTTAGAAATAGGTCCTTTAGGCTCTTTCTGTTTTTCTATCTTTCTCTGTCTCTCTCTCTCAGAAGTATACTTTAGGAACATTAGCTGTAGAAACTATCATATATTATGTATTAAGTTTCTACTTTGCCAAGCTGCTTTATGCGTAAAATTTAAGAGCAAGAAAACTGCCTTTCTCTTTTTTCTATGTCAGTGTTTCCTAAGAAAGTTGATGTTTCAAAGGAGTAACCACATATTACCATTTCATCTTAAGTAAAAAGATAAAGGAAAGATTATTAATAAGGCTAATTGTTACACACAAAATGCTAAGAACAACTGTGGATATTTCATACAGTAAGGATCTTTTTTTTTTTTAAAAATATGTCTTCATTGATTTCAGAGAGAGAAAAGGAGAGGGAGAGAGAGATAGAAACATCAATGATGAGAGTCATTGATCAGCCGCCTCCTGCACACCCCCAACTGGGGATCGAGCCCGCAACCCGGGCATGTGCCCTGACCGGGAATCGAACCCTGATCGCCTGGATCCTAGGTCGATGCTCAACCGCTGAGCCACGCCCGGCCCAGCAAGGATCTTTTTTAAATGACTTACTCAGGGATGGGACTATGAGGAATTGGCATTTGCTACGGCATGTTGACAGAGCTGGATGCTCATCCACGGGGTTAGCATAAGTAAATCAACTTCATGGACCTTCTGTATTCATCGCAGCCACATTGGTGGAAACCACGTGTTATGTGAAAAATCTCTTTGTGCCCAGACAGGTAGAGAAGAGAGCAACTAACAAGTGGATGAAAATAACATTATAGCTAACTGATTAGTAACATTTTCTGTGTGAATGAAATGCATGTTATGTAGTAATCAAGTCTATCACATATTTATTTTGATCCAGAATAAATTCTAAATCATTTTAAAAAACAGTTAATGAAGGCTTTCATTTCACCTACTGCACTTGATAGTCACTCAAAATCACATAGACAGTTTAGATCGTGTGTTACCTGCACCACATGGTCATGATTTAGCTTTTACACGCCGATGTTTTATTTAGAACCCTTTGGCAGATGAAGCTGTTGACCTTAGTTAGTTAGAAAACAGCTGCTTTTCTATTTTGATTTGTAGTTAATGTTTTCCAAGTGTCGAGCACATGTAGAGACATTTTTTCCATAGACTGATATTAAACATTTTATTTATATTTCTTTTATTTTTAATGGTCCATGCATTGTTTGGAAATGTGAGAACCAATGAGAGCATTCACTGTAAATGTTTTTAGAAAAAAAAAATCTCCCTTGGGTATTTCTCTAATGGATCAATATCAAATTCATTTATTTTAGTAGCATATTCAACTACATTGCTATATTCTAGGAGCAGTCTGTTATCTATTTTGACCAAGTTAAAAATACATGATCTCTTCCAAATTTTTCATAAGTTCCTGCCTAAAGTCAAAGCTAGGTGATCCCCAGTAGTCAGGTTTCACTCCTTGTTTTGTCAATGAGTGGATGAATACCTTGCGAAAATGACCAGTTGATAATCTTAGTTTAATAACTATTTTTCTAATTTCTTGTAATTATATTTTATACCTTCTGGTTCAAATGAAGGTGATTGAGTTTCTTCTTTTTTTGTGGGAATTAGAGTTTCACTTTTTGGGGGTATATTTTTTTCTATAAGTCCTGGTAAATATATGAGTCCCATTATTTTTATTTTTCTGCTACGCATAGTTTACTGAAATCTAGTGCAAACTGTGAAGAAACAAAAGATGACGGTGAGGAGGCACTATTGTGTCCTTTGGTGGCAGATGGAGATTTGGGGAGCACGTGTCCTGGGTGCTGAGCAGCATAAAATGGTGGGAGACACTGCGAAAGAGAAGGCAAGGAGGAAACACTGTAAGATTCACCACATTTTATTTATTTGTGGCGAGTCTCGGGTGCGGTGGAATAGCCCTCAATTCTTTGGGTACCGAAAATCTAGATGAGAAAGCAGAAGTTTCTTCATGGCTACGTGGTTTGCAGTAGGAGAGAAACTCTGCTGATCAGTGGTGCTGGCCATTGGCTTTCCCTCTGTGTTTGCCTGGGTAGAATGCGACTTGGGAAAGTAGCTGTACAGCTTTTTTAATATATTAAAAAAATGAATACTTTCAGTAATGTTTTAAAAACATATATATTTTTTGTCTTTCAGGAGTATTACCAAAAGCCTATTTGAAATCAAGTGGGAATGAACCTATGGCCACTGATGGTGACGTTCAAGTGCCTGATGTTATTCTGGCAAATGCCGTTTACCAGGAGAGCGCTGTGACATCTCCTACCCCTCCCAACCAGCACGTTCCAGCCTGGACCACCGATGCTTCTCTCCCACAGGACCGAGGCCACAGGAACACAAGTAAGTCTGAAGGTGCGATGCATGTGCCCTTTCATGTCTGCGGAACCCACGGCGAGATTTTTGAGTGTGGCAACGGACGCTCTTAATTCAGTCACTTACCGATCATACAGGCAAAGCTCCACTCCCTGGCCCGGCAGGCCTAGCAGAGTGCCCTGTTCCTTGGCATGAGATGCCCTCCGCCCAGCCATCCAGATAGGGGCGTAAGTAAGTCATGAAGATGTATCAGTGTCATCCAACATTTCTCAGGCATAAAAATATTGACCGTTTGCCCCAGTATAGTGGCACTGATTTTGTGGTGCTTCACCTCTAAAAGTTTGTGCTTCTGCTTTGAAGTTTTAAGTTGCTTCCTTTGAGATGGTTAAATTAAGGTACTTATTTTGTTATTGGCACCTTGTAGGAGGGACCCCAGTTCTAGAATAGGATGCAAGTGATTTAACAGGAGCCACCCCCCATTTGCTTTTGACGTGTCCACGTGCTCTTGTTTCCTTGCTCCCCTCTCCTCCCTCTTTTATTGGCTGTGCAACTTACTGCACATGCTGGTGACTGACAGGCCATCTCACCTTGAGGAAAATGGCATGTGTGAAACTTCCGATTGAGGACAAATGGAGAGATTTGTCAGTCATTCCAGTAAAAGAGCTGGGAGAGAGAGAAGACAAAGTGTGGGGACTGGGTGGGCTAGCTGGTGGCACACAGTAGGCTCTGGAATGTGACTCTCTTCCTCAGTACCCCTCGGATTGTTTGGTAAAGTCACTAAGCGTCTGGAGTGTTGCTGGGAGAGGATCTGTGCGGACAGTGCCCAGGAGCTTCGGCTCTGCTCCAGTCAGCACTTTCTCTGCAGCCGTCTCGATTCTTATTTTCTTCCTCTTAAAGCGAAGTTGCGGGACTGGAACTCATAGCACACCCAGCGCCCTGAGCATCTTCCTGCCCCTTCCTCCCTCTTTCTTGAAAACCCACAAGGGGAAATCACACCTGAGGTCCGGGACGGAGTGTTTATTTTCATTCTGAGCCCGGAAGGGAAGGATTAGGCCGACTCTCAGCTAGCAGTGCGTGCTTGCCAGTGTCTGAAGAAAAGCAGGATGATTCTGCCTCTCGAGCCGCAGGGAGACAGCCTGCTTGGATTCCGTTTCGCACAGCGCCCACGGGGAGTGGCTGTGCCTTAGACCCGGTGCTCACCAGCGATTCCTATGGATTTGTGTTCGTTACCTGACAGTAACGCTGCAAACCCGAATTATGCCAAGTGAAATTTATTTTCCTCCGGAGTTTAATTTTGAGGCTTTTTTTTTTTTTTTTTTTTTTTTT